CTAGGCTGTTTCTGTTTTAAATGCTGGATGTGAAACCACCATGACCCAGTAATGGGCTGCCACAATTTGAAAAACACTAAGCAATTCTTCTCTAGTCTACTTATCTACAGTTTATGATAAAAGATAATGTTTTAATTGCACAAACTGCATCTCATAAAGCAGTAAAAAATACAAATCAATATTTCCATATACTGTCTTACCATAAAGGTACACAAGTGTATTCATATATCCTCATGTTAAATTATAACCAAGGTACTAAAAGAAAAATGTGGCGATTATTCTTTTTTTAATGGGCTTAAGAAGATGTCTTTCTCTTTTCTGTAGTATTTCTTTTTATTGTTGTTCAAGCACAGTTGTGTCCATTTTCCCCTCACCACTCCCCACCGCCCCACCCATCCCCACCTCCCACATAAGAGATATCTGACTCCAGGTATAATGCTGCAAAGTTCTGAAGAGCTTTCCAGCGTTTTACTTAGGCAGGTTTAACCTAAATTTAGATTCAGTTATGGACATTCAAAATTAACTGTAGGAGACATGTAAATGTCAAAAAATAAATGAGACCATAATAAACCCATTAGGATATAATTCTGATATATGAAGCATCCAGACCTTGGCAGTCAAGAGTCAATGTTCAGAAAATGTAATTGAGACAGTTTCCATTTGTTTATACTATTTAACTTATAATTGGTGAACAATCCTAGACCATAAACCCGACCAAAGGTTCCTCCAGCCATTCCCTTCAAAATGAAAGGCTACAGTATTTATGGGTGAATAAAAAGCAAACACATCCTCCTTCACATTCATGTTCAAAATCAAGCTGGCCAGAGTTTGTATTGGCATTGTTTCTGAATGTCTCATTCTCAGGAAATACCTGTGGAATTCTCTACAATCATAAATCAGAATGTAAAATCAACCACCTCAGGACAGGATTAGGACTTTAGGAATAACAGCCAAGGGTAAAGAGAAAGATAGGAGTTACAGCTCCTTTTGGCTTCCCCACATCAACACTATTTCTACTTTTATGGATGCTTTTCCCCCTTTGGAGAAATAGAGGCAACCATAAAATAGTTAGCACCTGGATAGCTAGATGAAACTACCTGAAATTACACTAAGCTGTTACAGAGAAAGAAATCATGTGAAAAACAGAGAAAGGACACCAAAGACAAAGACACCAGGGGAAAATGGATAACAAAGAGACATATATGGCGATGTGAGGAGGACCCTAGAAAGTACATAAGGATTTTATTAACCACACTAATTTTAAAAGCAGCTAGTCTTATTCTTCACTTAAAAATTCATCATATCCAGTGGGGGGAAAAAGACCCTGAGATTAATGTTGTCCTAAAATAGCCCTTATTTCTTTCCATAAGGAACTGGTTAATTAAATGAAGATATACCATGCTGGGCTGAACCATATGAAATTTCCCATTTTCATCATTTTTTCCAGCTTTATTGAAATATAACTGACAAGTGATATTGTACATGCTTATATATAATTTGATTAAGTTAATTAATACATCCATCATCTCACATAGTTACCTGTTTTGTGTGTGGTAAAAATGCTTAAAATCTATTCTCCTAGCAAATTTCAAGTATACAATACAGTATTATTAACTACAGTCACTATGTTGCATAGTAGATCCCCAGAATTTACTCACCTAATAACTGTAAGTTTGTACCTTTGACAGACACCTCCCTATTTCTCCCACCTCCCAGTCCCTGGCAATTACCGTTGTACTTTTGACCATTTTTGACCTACTGACATAGCAACTGCACATAGTTCAACCTAATATAATGGAATACTTTGCCATCATTAAAAAGAAATGATCTCTACATTGTATTGCCAAACAAACAAGACACAGCATGTCTACAGAATGTCCCTATTAGTATCTTTTAAAGAAATACATGTGTGTGCATAAAAATTTTCTAAAAGTACATCAAGAAAATGTCCCCGGAGAGGGAAATTAGAAAGTCTGGGGTGAGAGGGAGACTTCTTTGCACTGGATATCCTCTATTCGCCAAACATCCCCTTGCACACTCTTTGAATGTCTTACTATATGATGAATTACTTTTTTGATTAAAAAAAGTCTGGACATTTTTCAAATGTCACAATACATTTCTTTACTAACATTCAAGTTATTTAAAACATTAACCAGTATTTACAACAAAAAAATAACACTTCAGATATGGTACTTAAAGTTTTTTCACTCTAAACCTAAACTAGAGTCCAGACAGTTTTATGACTCTAAGGATTTGAAAGGCAACTAAAATAAACACTATGTTTTAACAATACCCATATATATGAAGCATTATATGTAAGGATGTAAGATATACAGTCATTCAAGAATTTTTTTTATCTCTATGTGTAACTCTGCTGTAGGCCCTCTGTACATCTATGCATAAATGCTTTATACAGACCATATATATGCATACATATACAAGCACATGTATGTGCATAAAGGTATGAATACATGTGTCACACACACTATCCCAAGCTACTAATCAACCAGGATCAAAGATGTGACTAGTAATCACAACCTGTCAGACATGGTAGTCTCTCTATGTTCAGGATGTTGGAGCAAGAACCACTACTGCTGTCTTATTAAAAACCACTAGGTCTTGGCTTAGTCCTCAGGCCTCTTCTTCTCCTGGATCTCCCATCTTACATATCTGTGGAGGAGATCAAGGGAGTATCTGTCTTTTTCTAAAGATCTTTTCCCTTAACTATTATCTGGATCACAACTGAGGAGTGGGAACCAATATTAAATTTAGCAGTTCTCATTCTATTAAATCCCTCTCTGCCCTTGCCCTCTTCCCTGAGAATCAGTATATGTGCTAAAGAAATGCAACAGATAAGATTTGTGGCATACATGAACAGTCTAAGATTGGGAGATATGGGCAGGCAGGGAGACTGAGGTCCACTGGTCTTGGCAGTTTTAGGCCCTGATCTCAGGTGTCTTTATATGAAAATGCTGATTAACTTATATGCACTTATACATGCTAAAATAAAATGCAGAATTTCTGAAATTACACAGGTTGGAAATTTTTTTAAAGATTTTATTTATTTATTTTTAGAGAGGGGAAGGGAGAGAGAGAAACATCAAAGTATGGCCGCCTCTCGCATGCCCCCTGCTGGGGACCCTGCCCACAACCCAGGCAGGTGCCCAAGCAGGGGAATCGAACCAGGGGCCTTTGGGTTGCAGGGGAGCACTCAATCCATTGTGCCACACCAGCCAAGACACGTGTCAGGAAATTTAAGGAAGGTTTCATTTAATGATCACTAATGATCTATATTCACAGTAAAATGTATGTGCTCAGTATTTTTATCACAAAGGTAAGTGAGAAACTAATGGTAAATGTGCTTTCTGAATTTACTCTTAGTCTCAATTAATATGCTATTCCCTCACACCATAGGTAATATCAAATTTAAAGAGTACAGTCTTCGCTATTACTATGAGTTTGTGAAATCTACAAATCTTAGTGGTACTCCCAATAAATTTGCTGTTTGACTTAACTCAAATTAGAGCCATCTCTAAATTGTCTTTCAAACTGTATAAATTTACTGGATAACTTTGATATAAGTATGCATGGAATTTTAACCACTTTATATAAATATATAAAATATACTGTTTTTAAAAACTTGCTGTTTTGCCCATTAATAAGCTTTATGAACTTTTTTCAAAAAATTAAGATTTCAAATGTTAAAAGCAGTGTTAGGAAAGTTCCTATCTTGTTAGCCATAATCATCTAAAGACATTAAACCATGTATCCTTAATTTATCAAAAATGGTATAAAATTCAGAAGTCTCACTATTAAAAGGAATTATAAGATGTGCTCTTAAAAAATGACTAAAGCATATCCCTTTTTACTAACCACAATGTGAAAAATTGTGTGTGCGTTTGCACATATTTATTTTAGAAAAACAGGAGGCAGGCTAATACAAACATGACTCCATAGGCATATAATAAAAGTTATATTTTCAAATAGGGGGTCTACTGACCTTAGAAAACTAATTCTAATAAAAGTATAGAATAAATTAACCTTCGCAGAACACAAATTCAATGATTTTATTAGTTGATTTTTCCAATTCCTCATTAAAGTCTCCCAGGGATAACAGACTCTCCGTGCAATGGTTTTTAAACTATGATGACAATTAGAATGTATAAATAATCCTTCAGTCCTACGTATTTCCTGTATGATCACAATCAAATGAAAACTCTCAACTTTGATCTCTCACAGATCAAAAGTATCTTCTAGATAACAAGAGTAACACTACATGCTAATCTCCATATAATACTAAGAGATTATTTTTCATTATTAAAAGTAACCATGGATATGTTGGCAAAATTTAAACTTTGCACTTAACGGGAAACTACGACTGGAAAGCCCGGCCTGCTATTTGCGCAGCGCAGGGAGCGGATAACCGAGAGCATCATTTACCAGTGGCGTTGCGCAAGGCTTCCGCCTTCCAAACCGCAGCAGGAGGCGAAGGGACTGTGCAGTGCCACCCGTCCACCCGGTCAGAGTGGGCCGGGGAAGGGACAGGCTGCTGCCCACAAGGAAGGAAGGTGGGGCACTGCCGCCCTGGCTCGTAGGCCTACCCTCCTCTTCCTGCACAACGCGAACACACCACCGAACCACTGCTCGGCACGGAGGACAAAAAATAAGACTCCTTTTAAGTTCCCTGAATGAGAACTCTAAACAGCGCCTCCTTTTCCCACGCTCCGGCCGAGCCGCAGCTCTACGTCTCCTCCGCCTCTGCCCGCCAGGCGCCCCCGGAGTCCGCCCCTGCGGCCTCCCACAGGCGGCCCGGGAATCCCTTCCAGGGGCGCGGCGGTCTCGCTCCTGCGGGACCCGCCCCGGCCCCGCCCCGGCCCCGCCCCCACCTCTGTTCCCCACGCACCGGGAAGCGGCAGGCGCTCCTAGAGCCCTAGGCGCCGTCTCTCTAGTCCCCGCCCTACTGCGTCCCGCCTTCTACGCTCCCCTGAAGCCCGCCTCACCTTGGTCCGGATCTGCCCCGAGGTAGACACTTTGCGGATCAGTTTCTGGGGTCCCTCTTGCTCCGCTTCGCTGTCGGACGAATCCTCTCCGGGCCCCGCCGAGGCAGCGGCGGGGGTGACCACGGCGCCAGCCCCGGCGGCCGCTCCTCCCGCGGCCCCCGGAGGGTGGTGTGGGCCGCCGGCCCCGGCCATCCTCTCCGACTCCTGCGGGGACACAGCACCGCCCGGCGGGGGCGGCGGCGGCGGTCAGTAGGTGGGCTCTGCCGTAGCCGGGCCCCGGAGCCCCGCGCCCAGCTACCGACGCCATCTTCCGTTCCCCCAGGCCGCAGCCGGGGAAGGGTCTGCGCGGCTCTGGCGCCCTCCTCGCAGGGACCGCCCGGCTCCTCCGCCCTGGTCTTGCCAAAGTGGCGACTGCGGTGGGACACTAAGAACACGCCTGAGACCCCTGCGCATCCAGCCTCGGGATGGTACTGGGGGCCTGACCCATAATACAACTAGCGCGGGGAGAGAGGATGGGGGTGACTGAAGGAATAGGACAACCTCCCATCTCCCCCAGGGTCTGGAGTCCCCAGGATGGACGCGAGCGCCGAGGGGATGGGAGGGGGATGAAACCTCCGCAGCGGCCCCCCCAAAACCCGACGGTGTGGATGCTCCCTCCTTCGGTTTACGGGCAGCAGAAGTATAACGGCCCCTGGAGTAGAACAGGAACCTAGAGTTTCCTCCCGACTCCTTTGGGTGCACCCCGTTACCTCCTGGACCCAGAATCTCCCCTGAGACACTTGGGCCTCTCCGCACAGTTCCCGCTAAACAAAGGTATCCTCCGCCCGCGAAATGCATTTACGATACCCCTGGCCTGTCTCGCGACCCCCCAGCCTTTCTCCAATGAACCACACCTCTCCCGCCTGTGCCTGGGGTTCAGGTCCTTCCTCTCAGCGCTCCCGACAGTGGCACTCAGTTTCTGGGCCACCCCGACTCCCATCCGGCGCACACGGAAGAGAAGAGCATTTTCCGGGAGGTTCCACTCCGCTCTGAGAACTTTTCGTTCAGAAAGAGCGATGCCTTTGGTTAACAGGAAACTGGGGAGGACGGGAGAGAGCAGAAACAAGACAGTACTCGCAGCCCAAGACGACAGAATGCAAAATAAAGGTCTAAACTGAAGCGCTACCCGCGACTGCCTAGAGAAAAACAATGCACTGGAGCCATACGAATAACCAGTGCCCCAGCACAAAAACATTGTTAAGTCCTGGGAGAGCCACTCCCTAACCCGAAGTAGAGCAGGAGGAAATGGGATCAACAGGCTACAGGCACCGCTCACAACTTGTCCCAAGCAAGCTGGTTAAGCCAACACAGGGGAATAGCAGCCTCGAGGGCGAGGGCGGGTTGTGCAGGCACCGAGTCAAAAGAACCCGTGCAGGAGTGAGAGGCTGGAAGGGCTTAGCGGAGAAAATACAAAAATTACAGATTCCTCTTGTCATCCACAGATAAATCCCTCTTATCCCACAGATAGCAAACTGGTGTTAGCTAAATTTTAAAGTCCAAGTCCGGCAAAAATGTCCCCGCCAGACTGTGGAGTCCATTCACATTTCAGCAAAGCAGTCTCTTTAACGTGTTCATGGGCCTTCAGTTACCCATTTGTATTTTTTCAGTTGTCATGACCTACTTTTTCAGTTGATAGAACCTTTAATGGTAGTCCAAACTAAGATTCTACTGGGGTTTTTTAGTTGCAATACTACTCCCAATAATTTTATTGCTTTGTCAAAAAAAAAAAAAAAAACCCTAACAGTTCTAAGAGATTTTAGAAAGTTTCAATTCCAATACTGTATACACACATTGTAGATGAAAGTCATTAAAAAGTGCTGGTTTGTTTGAATCTCCAAAGATGGGAGATTGCCCACATGCAATACTAATTGATAGAGGTTATTTCTCCAGCTTAGTTGTCTTCTTTAGTCAGGGAAGAAGTTGGGCAAAATAAACTTTGAACATTTATGGCTCTCTAAATATGTAATTCTATATCTACGAAGAACATTATTACTAAGAGCAGAATTAAGCAGAAAAAAACTAATCAAAATAATGGCCTTTACCCCATCCTAGCTACTTGGTCACTGCCAAGTCCAGTGGTTTCACAATGGAGACAAGAACAGCTAGTAAAGGGCCTTTGGAAGAAAAGACCTAGTTCAAACCTCTTTTAATGAATGTAAAGAAATTGTGGCCCAAAATCACAAACTGGAACCAAAGTCAAAAATCATGATTCCTGCCCTGGCTAGTGGCTCGGGTGTCCTCCCAAAAAGGGAAAGGTCTCCACTTGATTCTGATAAGGGCACCTGCCTGGGTTGCAAGGCCAGGCCCCCAGTTTGGGGTGCACAAGAGGCAACCAGGCTACTGATCGATATTTCTCTCCCTCTTTCTCCCTTCACCTCTCTCTAAAAATAAATAAAATCTTTTTTTAAAAAATCATATGATTACTATTCTAATGTTCTAGTCACTTTACCACACTATATAATGAGAATTAGTCTGTCAATTATGTTTCTATTCATACTTTAGGCTTTCAAGTTTTACATAGTAACATTCTTTCAGAATCCAGGCAGAAAAAGTGATTAAACTGAAAGGCATTGTTTAATACCCATACTTATTCTGTGATCTTAAAAAGAGAACTGAATAAACCTCTCACTCTGATTCAAACAGTGATTGCTTAAAGATACTTTAAAATAGCTTCAAGTACAACAGCTGGACAATTAATACCTCAAAGTAAAGTATTCATTACTTCATAAAAAGGTAACCTCACAGTTATCCCTGCTCTTCAAAGACTCCTGTAACAAGTTCTAAAACTTGGTTGTGACTTTGAAAGCACAGCCAGTCTTAGCCTATTTGTGCTAAATAAGTGATCCCTGTTCTACAATTTTCCTAGCACATAGAACACTCAAGAGTGGAAATACTGTATAGGAGGAACATCACTTCATTTCCCACAAAAAAGAGCTTATGAGAAAACCCTCTTCAATCATCTCTGCTGAAGAGATGTTTCAAGTAATCCCTAATGTAAGGTACCTGACCCATTAGTTTTTTCTCAGGTCTTGTCTGTAAATTAGAAGTTTCCAGAATGAATAACCAATCTGTATATTGTATATCTACAATGCAATCCACTTCCCTTAAAATATAATAGCAATGTCAAGACCTCAATATATTCAACCATTTTAATGCAGCTCAAAATCGCAGCTGAAATGAATTTCAAATATGTGGTACATTACATTATTTCTTTGATTTACATGACTTCCTTGACTCCTAACAGCGTTTTCAGACTTTCAAATAATTTCTTAGATATGTATTACATAATTCTTTCATTATTGTTACTTTGAAATCTTTGGAACATATCACAAACACGCTATTAAAAATTTGGACATAAGCCTTGTAGACACTGCATTCAGGATAAAATGGAAATAGAAGCTACCACTAAATTAGTTTCTACTCAAGAGGGCTTCCTGCCCCATTTAAAAAAAAAAACCAAAAAACTATTACACTGGATAGATAGAAATATATAAGAAACAGCCAATTCTCATTCTCATAACAACTTCATGAATATTAGCATATAAATATTTTGAGCTATTGATCACTATAACAAAAGAGGTTTATTTATGACTTTAATCCTGTATGTTCTATGGCTTTATGTTAAAAATATTTTATCATCAACATGTAGAAGTCTACATTTATATCCTGAAGAACCTAAGTAGACACTTCAAAAAGAGTCATGTTCTGAGACTCACGTTCCTAACCAATGGGAATCATTCAAAGAGCACTGTAGGTTGAACAAACTTCAAAACTTCCATCCAAACTTCAAAACTACTTCCATAATACACTATCTGTTACATATTTAGAGTTTAACACTCAAAACTTTACTAAAGTTACCTTAGTTGTCAACTGAATGAAAAAGATTGAGATTAACTGTGACATCAACTGCATGTGTACATATGGTCAGCTCTGCACCTAAGGCAAAAACCTTTCATCATCTAGACCTAGTGCATAAATATACATAGAACTTTTCATTTATATTTTGGCCATTTTTCCTTTGACACTTTTCCCACTTAGTTTTACATTAGTTCTGAATAGTTCCATCAGAGCCAACTAGATATAAAAATCATTTGGACAGCTCTGACCAGGGTGGCTCACTTAGCTGGCTGGGCGTTTTCCCGCAAAGTGAAAAGTGAAAGGTTGCCAGCTGGATTCCTGGTCAGGGCTCAGTCACAGTAGTGGTGTCTTGGAGAGGAACCTGTTCAATGTTTCTCTCCCCTTTCTCCCTCCCTTCCCCTCTCTCTAAAAATAAATAAAATCTTTTTAAAAAATCATTTGGGCCCTGGCTGGTGAGGCTCAGTGGAGTGAGTGCCAGCCTGAGAACCAAGCAGTCTTCGGTTCAATTCCCAGTCAGGGCATATGCCTGGGTTGCAGTACACATCCCCAGTAGGGGGCGCACAAGAGGCAACCACACATTGATGTTTCTCTCCATCTCTTACTCCCTTCCTTCCCCGGTCTCTAAAAAATAAATAAAATGTTTTTTAAAATTTTTTAGTAAATAAAACATATCCTAATATCATTCCATTGTCTAAGAACCACTTTGCAAATACTCCCGCACTTTTTAAGTTTTGGCTATTATTTGTGAATAAGGGTTGTTTGACTATCTTCCTACCCACCTATGCCCACAACCCAAATATTTTTAATTGACTAGAAATTTAGGTGATACCTCTATTTCCACTGACTTGATTACATCTGAAGCTACCGTAAAGAAAATATAGACACCTGAACGCTAATATTTATCATCTTTTACACCCAACATCCTAGCTGGAGTGATGATATGACTACAGTTTATTTGCATGACCCCACCTAACTAACTAACCTAATTTCACCTTCAAATAAAAGAATGTCATGAAGTCCAGCAGCTGTCTCTCCGCTACAGACATGAAAACATTTCAAGCAATAAGTGCTGTTCTCTTTACTACTATTTAGCATCAATTCCCAAGGTTATGTTTACTCTTCTGTGACTAGTTCCATGTAGGATTAACACAACATATTTTTGTTTCCATCAAGAAAAAAAAATGAGAGTAAATCCTTACATGTATGCTGTTGTATGCAACATGGGATAATGCAACAGGGTCTACGTAATGTGAACATTGCCTGTTTGACATTGGATATTCCAATATCAAAATTTGTATGTTTAATTTTCATAAATGTAAATTAATATACTTTTGTAGTAAAATATTACCTGTATTTGAATTCTATACACCTATATTTGAATTATAAAAACAGATTTCAAATAACTGTGAAATGGAACCAAGTCAAAGCAGCTGTTTTTAACCTGAAGTCTCTGAGGGTCCACAGATTGGGCTTCAGTAAATATGTTTCCCTTGAAATTTTATTTAAAATTTTGTATCTATGTGGCATAGGAACATTTTTGGGAGACAGCCCATGCTTTTGATTAGATTCTTAAGGATCACTGATTGACCCTTTCAATGTTCAAGGACAGTTCAAGAATACCTGATTGTGAGGAATTTTGTGTCCCTTCAAAACATATTTAAACTAATATTTCCTCTGTTATCTCCAAATGACTGTAATTAACATTTAAATACTCTTTTTTCTCTAATTTATCCGTCCTTTTTTCTCGTATATACCACTTCTCAGTAATTTGGCTAACTCACTTTTTTAAGAACTTAAATTCCCTTAGACTTTGTAGTCATACATGTATGGCCACAGCTTCAAATAAAATCACTTTGTCAAAATTATCATTTTATGCAACATACCTGAGGTCTCTGAAGATGCTTTTTGGCCTATCTGAATGGAAATCATTAACATATATTAAACAAGACATTGTTTAGTTAAGAAAATACACTGTGTGGATTTAAAGATTTGTGACTATGCTGTTAACTGCTATATCCAACAGTTCTGAAACATAAGAGGTGCTGGATAAAATATCTGTTGAGTTAATAAAAGGCCTTCAGTGTTTAAAGAAAATAAATCTAACTTTTAAGGAAAGTTCTGCAGTCTGCATAGGTGTCACGGTTCACTCAAACTTTTGTGTCAGGGCTCCAGTTTTAAAAGCTAATAAATGGGCATTTTCATTTTTGTTATTTTGAGATGTAGAACAAAAAAAAAAAGTTTCTCTGTATATTTCCAGGTACAAAATAGTTCTGGCACTAGCACCCTGAAGTAAAATAGATATAACTGGGTATTTTCCATTGTGTTTGGTGATGGCTTACAGTATCCAGGTTCAAAGGGACTTCATTTAAGAAAGTTTAAAAGTAACAAAGTAACAAAAACAGGTCAGTCACTGAATTTAGTTCTCAGTGATCTTTCATTTAAACTTCAAAACTAAAGTCTATGTTTAATTTCAAGTAAAATTTGGTACCCAGTGATAATCACAATAGAGTATGAGCAGATGGGCAACCTAACAACATGTTCAAATTTACAAAAGCAAGGACAGCTGCAGATACAGAAGGATCGGAGTCCAAGGACACGTAGGAAAGGTCGGGAAGCAGGAGGCAGAGAAACGTACTCTGGGCAAAGGAGCTGGGAGTGTACATATTATGAAAGAAAAAGGAGAACCAAGCCTGGCACCTGACTTAGAAGGTCTCAGCAGGCAGGGGGCCAGGCTGAGAGGACTCGACTCGCGGAGTCCCTGGGAAGGGTAGCTGAACACGTTAAAAACAGCAAAGGTAAGCCCAGAAATTTCGAAAGAGACTTTTCAGATAGGTTCAAGAATGTCGCCAAGACGGAGTAGCAAACAGCGAGGCAGGGCGTGCAAAGCCACAATTCGATGCCAGGGAAAAGGCAGCCCACACACGCTGTGAGCGAGATGGGGATTCCGGGGTAGAATCCCGGGAGGGCTGCGCGGTGGCCCTGTCAGAGTTGGAAGAAAGGAAGTTAAAGGAGTTAAAGGAAACAAACGCAAAGCCGCCCCCCGCCCCCAATCCCCTCCTCCTCAGTCTTGCACACAAAATATGCACGCACACACTACTATCGGTAAAATTACCCAACCTCCGCGTTTCCAGTGCAGCGAAATCAAGGTTAGCTTCCCGCCTCATCCCCGGGCAGAACCCTGGAGCCCTAGAAAAGCCCGGGGCTTTAGCGGCGAACGGAGCCGGAGGCGTGGTTCTGGGCTGCCAGCGGCTACCACCCTCCCCAAGCTCCGCTCCTCAGGAACCTGCGCGCCCAGGTGACGGCCAGGGCGCGGTCTCGGGAGGAGAGGCCGGTCTCCTCCGTGCCCCCCGCGCTGATCCTGGAGCCTGGGGCTCTCCTCGCCTCTTCCCTACCTACTACGCTCTAAAACCAAGTCACAAAGTTGAGAAATCCATGAAGAGAAAAAATGGTCCTCCCAGGGCAGTCGTCAGCGGTTCGCCAGCGGCCCGTCGGGAAGAACCTCCGCCGGCGGGACAAAGGCGCTTCGGGCTGCGCTCGAGGAGGAGTCCGGGCGGCGGAGGAAGCGCTGCCCCGGCTGGGAAGCAGCTGGGGACCTCATCCCGGGCCATTTCCTGAACGGAACCCGGCCCGGGCGGGGGAAACAGAGGAGAAGTGGGAGGGGGTGGGCGCGGCGCTGTACCCACCGATTCCTCCCAGGCCGGGCAGCGGGCGCAGGGCGTGGGGTGCACGTGCTGCGGCTCCATCGCGCCGTCCCGCTCCCGCCGGCTGCCCGAGCGCGCGGACCCGGGCCGCCGCCGGGGCCGCTGGATGCGCCTCCCTCGCCGCGGTCCTCTCGGCCGCTGCTGCCGTCGCCCCGGCTCCCGCCCGGGGCCAGTCACCGGCCCTCCCGCCGTCTCCGGCTTCCGCCGCGCTGCGCTCTCCCGCCCCCGCTCCGGTCCCTTCCTCCTCCACCTCCACCTCCTCCTCCTCCTCGGTCCTGCTCCGCGCGATCCGCTCCCCGCCGCGGCCGCAGCCGCCGCCGCCGCCTCCCACGGCCGCAGAATCCGCCCCTCGCTCTTTCCTCCGCCTCCGGCTCCCTCCCCTTTTCCTCCCCGCTTCCCGCCCCTCCTCCTGCCGCCCCCTCCTCCCGGCGGGCGGCCCGGGACGCACGTGACCCTCCTGTCAGGCCTTATAAGGCACGGAACCGAAAGCGGCCGCCGGGTGGTCACAGGCACGGGGCGCCCAGGGGCGGCCCTCCCGGGGTCGGGGGGCAGGGAAAGCCCGGGCGGGGCCGAGGACGCGCTGGCGAGCGGAGCGGCGGTGGTCGGGAGTCCCAGCAGACCCCTCCCGCGCCCGCCACCCCGCTCGCCGTCTCCCGGCGCCGGCAGCCGGCGGCCGCCTCTCTCCCAGCGCCGGCTGCCCACGCTGCAGGCACCTCCCCTCCTCTGGGCGCCGAGGCGTGAACAGGAATCGCACTGGACAGTCCCGACTTCGGCCGAGCAAGGGAGACGACTACACTTCCGAGCCGCTCCTGAACCAGCTGCGCCAGGGGGAGATGATTCGTTGTGACGTTAAAAAGATTGCAGACCGGGTAGCTTCTGAAAGGGGTTAAGTTTGAGAGAAAGTTTTTTATTCATTTTTCATCGTTATCGGTTTCCTGGAAAGAAAGCCCGTTCCGAAGTCGACCTGCCTTCTAATTCGACCACTGCATTCAAATTAGGAGCCCCTTGAAAACGCTGTAAATAGCTTTTCCGAACATCTCTCCTGGCACCTAAGTCTGTTTCCATCCAGTTCCAATCCAAGATCGGCTCTCACGGGTTCCTTCCTCTTGTGGAGTTTCAGGCTCTTTCTGTCAGTAGCTTCCCAGGGCCCCTAATCATGTCAAACGCGAATCACCCATTTTAAAAACAAACTGAACATTTGAGAACATTTACTTGATCAAGTCTGCCTCCAGTGCTCACCTCCTCACGGCCAAGCTCTCGCGGAGATAAACTCCTGCCAATCTCACATCCACATCTCAAACTACCACTAGTTCTTCCCTGCAAACTGACTTCTGTGGCAACTATTACACAGACAGACAGGACCTTAACAAAGATCGTCTGTGGCTTTGAAAATGTTCTAAACCATGGGGTTTGGGGGAGAGCTCCAATTCTCTTCATGTTTACCCTATCTGCAGCGTTAGTCTTTGGGGACCGAACTGTTATCCTGGAACCTATCCCTTCTACTGGCCCCAATGACACTTCCTTCTCCAAGTCCTCTAACCATTTCTCCCCCAGCCCCGTGGCCACCTCTTCCACGTTGAAGCGCCCACGTAGTCTGCCCGTGGCCTGTTCCTAATGCTGCCTGGCCTATCTAGATCCACCCATGACTTCAACTACCAACCATGTGCTAACTCATAAATTCCCATTCTTGTCCCAGATCTCCAGTTCTGTAAAGGCATTTTCTTTCCAGAAATTTCTACCCAGACATCCCAGGGGCCATAACCTCAGCTTTACTGAAACAGAAGTTAACTTTCCTGCGAGCTGGCTTCCCTCTCTAGTCACTCAGTAAAATATCTCCACAATCCACCCAGGCACCCAAAGGAGAAATCCAAAAATTGTCCCAGGCTCTTCCATCTCTGTTCCATTGCCTCCTCCTCACACCCCATGTTCCTGTCCATCACTTTGCCTCCATTTCAGTGCTGTTCCTGGTTTCAGGGCCTTTGTTTCAAGCCCCCGAAACAATGTATTACTTTCCTCATTAGTCTCATTTTCTCTAAGCTAGTTGTACCTCTACTCCTTCCATCTCATATTTTGGCCAAAGTAAACCTTCTGAAATACAAAATCAAGAGAGTTATTCCCTTAATAAGCCCTTCAGATACTCCCCATTACCTGTAGGATGAAAGTCCTAATATCTTAGCCAGTATCATTTCTCCAGTCCCAACAAATACTCTTGAGTTCCCCACATGCAACTCGGTATCAAGCCCCTTATTTTTGTTTGTGTCCTCTCATGGGATGCCCTTTCTCTTACTCCAGGCTGTCCAAATACCTGCTCCTCTTTCAAGATTCAACCTAAGAGTCACCTTCCTGATGAAGTTTTTTGACCCCACTGCAGGTTAGAACTGGCCACTCTTTTTAGACCAAATGTACCCTCTCCACACCATTATGCCTTAGAAGATTCTATTAAACTAATTTTTATATATAATTTCTCTAATGATGTGTATCTTCCTAGTTCTCAGTACAGTTTCTGATGTATAATAGATGCTTAGTAAATGTTGGATGAATTAGTTATGTATTACAATTTTGTTATTATATTTCTGGCTATAGAAAAATCAGTTTCCTATGCATTATCTCATTTAATTTTCACAATTTTGCCAATAATATATTATTATTTTCTTTCATAAAGATGGAAACAAACTAGAGAAGAATAAAGCAGTTTGCCCAAATCACAAAACCAGGGCTATAATCCAGTTTGCCTAAATTTATTACATGTTTACCCATCCATTGGTTATATTTATAGCTTAAATTCTATTTTGTATGATACAATAGCTTTCTTTTTGTTAGTGGTTGCCTAATATATACCTTCCCATCTCTCTATTTTCAACTGTACTGAGTAATTATAAGTATGTCATGTAAATAACAGTTGAATTTCAATATCATTAACTCATTCTGAGAGTCTGCCTTTTAGTAGTCTATTTTTATCAGTTTTCATTTATCACCTATACTAATTAGGGTTAAGTTTATTGTAAGAAAGAAGTCCTTCCTCCCTGCCTTTTTCCAAATACAATGTATATTTCTCTCTCTTGAAATACTTGTTGGAGTGGTCCAGGTTGTTGCTCCACATTGCTATTCTGTCTGCTGGGGCAGGGGTCCTCAACCCTCAGGGCTGCACCTGTTAGGAATCCGACACCTGAGAGAAGCTTGCCTGAGCTCTGCCTCCTGTCTCCCCCCACCAACCACCCCCCCCCACCACCCTAGTTTTCCACAAAACAGATCCCTGGTGCCAGAAAGATTGGAGACTACTGCCCTAGGGCATTGCCTATGTCTGCATGGTAGAAACTGATCAGGGAGTTCCAGCTCAAGGAAACGTATGAAGGACCACAAGTCCAACTTCTTAAGGCCTAGAGCCAGAGTGACACACTTCTCATCTGCTCACATCCCTTTAACCAGAACTTTCATGGAAAATGAAGCCACTAGCCAGGCAGCCATGTCCCAGTTACAAACCCTGTTACTATGGAAGACAGAGAATAGGTTTTGGTGAAAACTAGCACTCTCTGTCACATTATGATCACCATCTTTGGATTTATTACCATTCTCTTACTTCATATTATTTATCTTTCTTTTTCTTTACTGGATTATTTTCTCCTTTCTTGCCTTCTATTCTATTAACTGAATTTTCTTTAGTATACTCCCTTTTCTAAACACTTCTACTGATTTGGAATTTATATCTTTTATTTCATAAGCTCTTATTGGTTACCCTTAAAATATTAACAGTTATACTTAACACCCAGTGTTATGGGGAGCACCACACAGGGCACTACTGAGGAGCTCTAGAGCCAGCTGAGGAGGGAGTGGGGCTCTGAACACTGCAGCGCCCATCCTGGGGTTGTCACGGATGGGGGAATAAACACAAGTCATCGCAAACACTTCTCTGTTTCCAGGAGAAGGGACATGGCTCTTCCCTCTACATGGAGTCCCCATGTCCAAAGGCTTTTATTGAGAACCATATGCACAGGGGTATGGATGCAAAGCTCATCAATCAATGTCAAAAGGCTATGTTTACAGAAAACAGATAGAGATCACAGATAACAATCGAAGGAACACAAGAGATCTGCCTCAGGTCAGGGTCTATGAATAATGTAAATCTCCTTCCAGTGTGAGCTGGTTATCATAGCTTTTGAGGGAAGAAGAAAGCATGCTTCAAGGAACTTACTTCTAGGCCTGATTTCCCCCTGGGAACCACCCGATCCAGTTTAGGACTGTACATGCCTTTAGTTTTGTTTCAAGCCTGAGCCAGGCAGGTGGGGCAGAGCCACCAAGAGATAAGGTGACTTCTTTCAGATAGGATGAGAATTCCAGCCATATCCAAGCCGAGCTGAGTGGTGCAGGCCTTTTAGCCCTTTCTCCATGTTCCCTAAGTCCTTCCCTGATGTCCCCTATGCAGCTGTGCCTGTCTTAGGTTGCCCCTGCCATCGAGGGTTCTTACCCATCATTGACTAACCAGCCATCCTTCAGGCCAAGCCGGTGATGTGGGGGAGACAGGGGCTGCGCCCCTGACAGGGGGAAAGATTTTTGTCTCCTCAGTGGCCTGTTTTCCCAAGGCCTCCTTGATTATTTCCAGCCTTGGAGCCCTCTTCTCTGTCGGCAAGGCTACAGTCCCTGAAACCAGGCAGGACGGTTCCCAACAACCCAAGATTAGTCAATATCATCATTCCCTTCCTTTAAAGATAACCTTATACAAAACAGAAATAAATAAAACTCATCAACTCCCAAATTTCTCTCTTATACATTACATATTGCTATTTGTGTTTTTTAATTCCCCATTTATCTTTTTAATTCTTTACTAAGTTAATCATCATTGTTACTACTTTTAGAGTTATTATTTAATTATTTTTTTCAAAATGTTTTATCAATATTTGTCCTTACTATTTGTCTTTTTGTACCACATTCTTTCTTACTGGGCTCAATTTATATCTTGGTGATGTACATTCTTTAATATTTTCTTATTATATCTGTTAGTAAAATTCTCTATGTCTTTGTAAATCACTCTCATTCAACTTTGTCTCACATTTTTGAATCATAATTTACCAGCTAATGAATTCCAAGTTTACATTATTGACACCAACACCTTGAAATTACCATTCCATTACCTTCTGGCATCTATTGTTGCCAATTAGAAGTCTGCCGTCAGTCTCGTTGTTATTTCTTTATGGATTTTTCCCCCTAAAG